CACTTCCGACATTCCTCCCCTTGGAGACGGTTGCGTGTTCTTCCTGTTCGCAGATGATACCGCAATAGCCGTCAAAGGAAGGATGCCTCGCGAAATAACGAACAAACTTCAACGATGCCTTAACGCCTTTGCTGATTATGCCACCACGTGGAAAATCAAAATCAATGCCACCAAAACACAAGCGATCATGTTCCTCCATCGGCAATCGCCCAAACTGAAACCGGCTCCATCTTGTACTGTAATCATGGATGGCACAAGGGTTTGAGTGGTCCGCCGAAGTAACCTATCTCGGGATGTTGTTCGATGAAAAGCTCCTCTTCCGTTCGCATGTAGAGAAAACAGTAGTCAAGTGTTCTGCCTTGGTTAGGTGTCTGTTTCCGCTGATTTGCCGCAGATCCCGCTCTCAAGGGTGAACAAACTGGCGTCTACAAACAAATCATAGCACCTGCGATCCTCTACGCAGCTCCGGTGTGGGAATCATGTGCACAGACTCACAGGAACAAAATCCAAGTCGCTCAGAATAGAGTGCTGAGGATGGTACTTGATCGTCCTTTTGACACTAGAATAACAAATTTACACGAAGAGGCAGGCATTGCCAAAATAGATTTCAGAATTACCGAAATTAAGACTAAATTTGCACAAAAATGTAATTTATCAGAACATGCTTTAATAAGCAATTTGTATATAGAAGATTAGGTGTATATAGTAGTTGTAGGTTAGTTGTAGTTGTAAATAGTAGTTATAAGTAGTCTTCTTTTTCAAATTTTCAAGCAAACCAATCCCACCAAGGTGGTCATTCTCTAAAACAGGCCTGATAGGACTAGGAACTGTAATTAATAATAATCGAAATTTCACAGGAACTAAAGTTGAAAAGACGCATCTGTGTCACTTGATAAGTTATACATGTAAACCACACAAATTCAAGAAATATAGATCATTTAAGTCAAAAGTTTCCCGTCATTCAATTGACGGACGGCGAGGAGAGCACATCTCCATAAAAGCAGCAGCGGTGCCCCACTCGGGCTCATTCAATTGACGGACGGCGAGGAGAGCACATCTCCATAAAAGCAGCAGCGGTGCCCCACTCGGGCTCATTCAATTGACGGACGGCGAGGAGAGCACATCTCCATAAAAGCAGCAGCGGTGCCCCACTCGGGCTCATTCAATTGACGGACGGCGAGGAGAGCACATCTCCCTAAAAGCAGCAGTGTCCCACCCGGTTCATTCAATCGGTAGGCAGCAACCGCTTTGGCCAGCTGAGGGTTTTTCTGAGTTTACCTCACTGCGGCTTTAAGCGATCTGCAATCCCCATTCAGTGAACTCCCAGTATACCCAGACGGTGCCACAACGTGGCGGATCTGCTCGGCGGACGGAGAGGAAGCAGCAGTCGTGTCCATATTCCGTGGCCGACGAACAGTGAGCGATACGCTTCGGCCAGCTGAGGGTTTCCTTGAGTTTACCTCACGGCCCCAAAGCGATCTGGAATCACAACCCAGTTTGTCATCCAGACAGTACTGGACAGCGGGACACCCAGTAAGGCTCCCTCAGACTTGAGACATCCCACACCTGACACCATGGAGCAACACCATTTTGTGAAGGCACCCGACAGGCCCGCTGAAAATCACGACAGGTACTGATAAAACCAATAGCAATAGCAGAGTACTTTCGATTTCCTATTTTTAATATCAAAATTTGCTATTGGTTATATCTGTTGTTCTACTCGGGATGGCTGACTTCTTTCAATGCCCAAGTGTTAGTGAAACCCAAAATGAGACGGTCACGTATAAGTTCATGTACTTACTCTCTTGAACTGGACATTCATCGATTTACGCGATATTTCATGCAAAATTTACATGAAATTACATCGTTCAAAAATACGTTACATCAAGCTAAATTCCTCAAACTATACACACCAAAAAATAATGAATTTTAATGGTGATGTAAATATCCATGCATGCTAAAATTGAAGCATGTAAACTTCCTTTTTACGTAAACTAGCAACTTGCAAGAAATATTGCTTACAAAGATGGATGTTTGTATACAATATTTAGAATATTTCATGAAATGACTTATAAATTTACACGATCTATAATGTGAATTTGTATGGTATGTGACGCTCTATTTATGTACATCATAGTGACAGAAATTTACACTACTTTTTCGAACTGTGTATGATTTCTTTTAACGGTGTTGAAAATACCATTCCACAGCAACTGATGGCTTAAATTCACCTTCTTCAACACCTACTACCAAAGCTACTTCTTCCTATTCTGCTTCTGCAAATCATCAAAAATTAATAATCATGACTTAACTCATAAAACACGCATAGACTGTAACGACCACCCGTTTATTACACCATTAGTTTTAATGCAACACCCTTATCTAATTTTCTGGTCGATATGCATACCTGTTACCGCTTCTACTGGAGTCCTTACGATTACGCGGCCGCTTCCGTTCATCTGCAACCTCCTCCAAGCCGTCATCATCCACTTCATAATCCTGGCTGGTCATTAACTTTCTCGGTTTTCCTTTTTTTCCACTTTGCTTCAAGCCAATCTCAACGGTCACCTCATCCTCGAGCCCAGAAGCAGCAGTAGCGCGTTTTCCTGCTTTTTCCGCAAATGTTTCTGCTCGGCCGTCGTCTGACTGCTGGCCGTTGAATAGCCGGTGTCCTTACGCGTTTTCGAAGACAAGCTAGGGCCGCCGATACAATGAAACCACATCCCGGTGACAATAGCGCACGAAACCCAACCGGGAACATCGTGGGAATGTAATGAAAAGAAGAACGGTCCTATCATTGTCTAGCTGTTTAATAAAGCTTTGCTTTATCTAAGAAATGGTAATGCGAATGGAGGGTGGCAACGGCGAAAATCGTAACAATGGTAATTGAGGGGTATTATGTAAGAAAATTCTTACCGAAACCTGTGAGCGCGGGAAAGACTGCTGTCGACAGGGATGCCAATTATTTTTTTTGCAAAATGTCTGTACGGATGCTTATAAAATGTTTGTATGTCTGTATCAGGAATTTTGGACAGTGTAAACTTTTGTAATTAGGAAATTTCAACGAAAAGTATTTTAACAGGTTTTAGAAGTTCTGTGTACCTCCTTGAGCATATCAAATTTTTCATCATTTTCAGATCTTTTACGAAGTGTCCACTACTTCGAAGAGATTCCCTACATTTGTAAGAGGTTTCCTGAATTTCTTCTATAATTGTGAAAACAAAATTGGTATGTCCTGGAAATTTGTTAATCCGTTGGCTACCAGGCTATTTAAAAAATCCATAATGCTGCTAACGGAGTATTACTTGACGTTTTTTGACTATCGTAAAAATTCAATTTTGTTTTTATACGATTTTTTTCACCTTTTGCTTTGATCCTGTGATCTCAATTTTCAACCAAATATAATGTATTTTGTTTCAAAAAATCACAAAAAATAAATAAATGCTACAATTCTGCATGAGGGCCAAATCATAAAATTGAAAATCGTGTAAAACAGAATTTACTGTATATTGCTCCACATATTCCAAAGAATTTTCAGCATTTCCTAATCATTTTTAAAATACTACAAATTTATTTGAAGAACCCTCAACTACTCTATGGTTGACTTGAGCTTTTCTAAAATTACTATAAGCTTTGTCTTTGAAGAGACTTTATGAGGTTCTAGAACTTTTCTGAAGTTCTCCCAAAATTCTCTGAGGTGTTCCCGCGTCTTTTTAATATTCCTCTAACTGCATTAAATTCCTTGATTTTCTTTAAAGTTTGCTGAATTTCTCTGAAGCCCATTGATATTTTTTAAGTACATAAATTCAGGTAATGACAGCTCTGCAGTTCACTAAACTCTCTTGAAACACTGAATACGGCAGCCTGTGCTCACCGCAATAAATCGAACAAAAGTGTGTCTTGATGCAAGAGAATGCATCGTAATGAATTAAAAGTGAAAGTATCCAAAACATTCATATGCGTAAATAAGGGGGTGCCGAGGTGGGGTCTGCCCACCCCCAGATCTAGAGCTGGCCATCCCAGAGAATTTATTAAATAAATACCGGTGCAATCTATTTTTACATTGCATGGAAGAGTTTCGATATTTTTCCAGGTTATCTTGAATAAACTTTTCTGTGACTTTGAATTTCTTAATTAATTGCCTATTCATGGTTGATGATTGGTCTTAATCTTTTATTCACATATTTGCTACAAGCATACGGCTCATATAAAGGTTAGACCTCTTAGTTCGTTTTGAAGATATGTCTTAATTTTCAAAACTTTTGAAATTCTGTGAAGAAGTGATTCTGATCTTTAGAATGATACCATTTCATTTTCCATGACTTTGAAAAACATCCAAAGAACTTTATTGAAATCATATTGAAAATCGAAGTTTCCTGTACTCCTACAAAGTTTCTTGAATTCAATTTAATAAATTCAAATAAAACTCCCTAGCCACTATGAAGTTCACTAAATGTGTGCAAAGTTGTACGAATTGCTGGAAAGTTGCGTAGACTTCTACGAAGTTTTCTGAACGTATACGATTTGTTAATGTGTTTGTGTAAGCAAAGTACAACTCAATTTTTACCAATATTGCTGAACTTGTAAATATTTCTTATGTGTCATTCACAGTTCCCGGAAATTTGACCAAGATCTCAGAAGATCATGTTGAATTTCTAGAATATTCCCACCTATAAAACTTCCTGAAGTCCACGAAATGCTAGAAACTGCAGCCCGAGCTTCTATGAAGTTCCCTAACTTGAACATAATTCCTTGCGCTTCAAAGAAGTTCAAGTTAACTAAAGTCTGGTCCTCTAAGAAGTCGCACAATTTATTTATTCAATAGCAGCGCCTCTAGTGGTTCGATTTGGAATGTTTTGACAGCGATTTGCGTTGAATGGACACAAGTACAGGTTGCGGGGTTTCCGGCGTGGGTGTGCAGGATCAATTATCTTTTTCGTCTTCCATCTAGTACAAGTTTTTAATACTGCACGTATCGAGAAGAAACTTTCATCACTGAAACACGTGCACTTTCAAAACGAATCGCTGTTAAAACATTCAAAATCCGACCACTAGAGGCGGTGCTAAAGAATAAATAAAATGTCTGGATTCCAAGTTAGCACACTTTACTATCAATTCTCTGTCTTTCTGTGAAGCTTTCCAAACTTTTAAGAATTTCAATTGTTTGTTCACTGAAGTTCCCTGAAAATTGTATTCAATTCCCTATACTATTATAAATTATTTTTTTCAAAAGTACTCAAAACAAATGAAGGTCCCGGAAGTTGAATAGAGTTTCCTGCACTAAAACAAAGTTTCATTAACTTCATTGAACTTTCAAAATTTTTTTACTTGTTCACCACTTTTACGAAGTATTCCAACAAAAAATCCTATCCTATCCTGTTATATATATATATATATATATATATATATATATATATATATATATATATATATATATATATATATGAATATAAAGAGATTCGAAGCATTCCTACGATTTCACTTGAACATCTTCAAAGCTCTAAAGTTTAAAGAAACTAAATGATGGTAAAGTAAAATGCCAAAACTATAAAGAGCTTTACCAAATTTCTACAAATTTCTATAATGTTTGATGAACTTCTACTAAATAATTTGCATGTCTCCGAAGTTCACTGAAGTTTTACGAAGCTCTCCGGATGTGTGTGAATTTTGCTGAGCTTTAACAATAATAGCTGAACTCCTATAAAATTTGGAGGCTGTGCGTGTGTTTGAACCTGACGTTTGTTTATATTTATAATCGGTTGCTGATCTGGCCATAACCAGGCCCACAGTTTCTAGCTCCTCATTCTAGGTCCCTATTATTGGCCGCTGAGAAGCTGTTCCGAAGCCAAGTAGGCTCCACGAGGCGTCCCTTCATTAGCTCCATCATTCGTTGAGTCGCAGCGTTGAACCAGACTATTGGCCACGAAAAGGCTTGCCAATGCACATCAAAAATCGACTAGGTTGGGCCCATCGCTAAAAATCTGTTATTTATCAATTTTATCAAGATGAACGCGTCATTGGGACGGTACTAATGGATATTCTTGGTCGCAACTACCACAAACCGGACTAGTTCATGGTGATCTTCGTCAAGCTTCGTCTACAATTTGGACTTCTACATCAACACATGTCAGGCAGCCTTCAGATTCAATTGGCTTGGTGAGTTCGTTCCATTTTGTAAATTTTTATCTTTTCAAACGAGTAACGTTGGCAGATCACCTTTTTGTGGTGCGTTACTGGTATAAGATCTACCACCGAACCCTAGTCGTGACAACTTCAAACTAGGGAATCAGGATTTTCCAGTAATCAAAGGATCACAGTCCTTGTTACTTTTTATGACTTGATAGTAGTGACAAGACTCGGGTAGTGACCACCGCGCTGTTATGCATTTCTATATTGTATATTTCAAAATAAAAATATTGTTTATGTTCATAGATTTCACATAATCCTTTTCCCTTTGTCCTTCTCCTTTTCCTTTCCCTCTTCTCTTTTCAGAAAGCGAGTAATGACGCTATAGCCATAAGTCATAAAAGGCTAGGGCAAGAGTTAGTGCTCATGCCCCAACCTTCAGAAGAAAATGGAGCATCACTTAACCTTTCTAGTTTTGATGCTTCCAACGACCAGCCAATCATATAATTACCAAAATCGGAACGTACGGTACTAGATGTCCACTAGGGTGCTTCATTCTGAAAAAAGTGATGAATTTCTGATGGGCCACCCTCCAGTTCGATTCATAGCCCCAAAATATGAACCTGTGCAAAAATTGGTAAAGATTGATGAAGGTTTAGAGGTCGCGCCAATGATTTGAAATTTGTATGGGAATTACTATGGAAGAATTTAAAAAATCGCTTATATCGCTATAACTTTGCTTCTACTTGTCCAAATGTCGAAAAAATTTAGTATGTTATTGCTATGGCAATAAACAAAAAGCCTACAGTTGCTACGCTCAGTTTTGCAGCGTATCAAGAATTATAAAAATGTGAAAAAATGGCAAAATAGGGTAAATTGACAGATGAATATGTACAAGGCAACAACGCCAATTTCATCGCAACAACAACAGGCTTGTTGATCATTGTCATGACAACCACATATTTTTTTTTTTCAACGTTTGGACAACTACAACCAAAGTTAGAGCAATGTAAACGAAAATCAATAATTTCCCATACTAATTCACCAAAATCTCCATACAAAATCCAAATCATTGGCGCGACCTCTAAACCTTCATCAATCTTTACCATTTTTTGCACAGGTTCATATTTTGGGGCTATGAATCGAACTGGAGGGTGGCCTATCAAAAATTCATCACTTTTTTCAAAATGAAACACCCTAATGTCCACGTTTCATCAATTTATTGGATTCTGAAGCATCGTGTTTAAATCTTCGATTTAAACAGGCCCGATGTTTTATGAATCATCTTGCCCCTTAAATGCTGCACAGTAGGCTTGGCCGTTTTGATATGTGTGACGCATCTTCGATGTAAAAAATATATCAAATAGACAAGAAAAATTATGTAGGTATATATACATATATATCATTTTCCAGGATGCAGTTCTTGGCTGTGTTGGTGTAAGATTAGATTAGATTAGATTAGATTAGAATAGCTGAACTCCTATAAAAATTTGAAACCCTTTTAGAAAATCTTCAGAATTTCTTTTCAGTTCCTTTTGTTTCAAAAAGTATTCTTAAGTTAAGTGCTAGACAATTTATGCGGTTTCTTGATGGTCAATAACATTCTCCAAACTTTTAAAAAGATTCCCAACAATAGATGAAGTTCCCTGAAATTAATCTTGATTGCATTTTCATTGATTTCTAAGAAGGTCCCCGAACTTCTGTAAACACTTAGTTTAAAAAATCTGAAAGAGTGTACATCTTTCACCACCCGTTGGTTTATGTCTTGTTGTCTATGTCCATGCCCTCTATAGTACAACATTCTAGTTCCACAAAATTACGGTAATTTTGGTAACCACAACATAGAAATCAACAATTAAAGCCTTTCATATAAAAGATTAAAAAATAAACAATTTTGATTAAAACGCATTCAGAACAATAAAATTTGCCTGTTATGGCATTATGGTATATTCAGACTGGAGAGTTATAATATATTATAAGGCTTGATAGTGGCACCGGTGGTGTAGTGGAAAGCGTGATTGCCTCTCAACCCCAAAGGGCCTGGGTTCGATCCCAGTCGGCGCCGCCGGGATTTTTTGAGGCATTAAACCTCTGATCACGTCTTTCTTCTGATGGGAAGTAAAGCCGTTGGTCCCCGGTCCATGAGTTGATGGGTCATAGGTCATAGGTCATGGGTCTAGGTGTGGGAGCTGCCTCCCTGGCGTCGGTAGCATAGGTACTCAGTACGGAAAACAAATCCAGGAAAAAAAGGGTATCTTCATGATTTTTTTCTTGTCAATAATGCTATAACTCTCTGAACAATAGACATAATGTTGGATTTGGCGAAAGTGGCTTAAGTGACTTCTAGTTGAACAGTTAATTTTTGGTAACCGACTAATGCCGAAGATGTTTTTAATTCAGCTTCAAATTGTATCGGCTACCATCGCAGTTTGAGTTTTTGTAATTTGCTTCGGGTTGAAAATTTTCCCAACATGATGTTGGTATACGTTTGTGTGAGTGAGAAAGGAGTTATGAAAAATTGACGATTTAAGTATTTTTTCACTAAAGTACTTGTTTAATAATGTATCCTTTGAATGGAGTCTACAAACATTTAAAATATAAGATAGTTGAATTCAGCCTTAGTGGAACTACTACGTTGCAATTTGGAAGCAATCCCAAAATTTGAAATACAAATTCACGAAAAACGTGAAATTCACGACAACCTTGCATTGTGGCAAATATCTACTGTAGAATAATATGTTTTAAACAAGTTAATCCATTACTGAAACTATTTTGATGTCGATAGTTATTTTTATGTATAAATCTGTAACTTTAGCCTAATTTATGTATGAAGTCTGTATGCATGATCAAATGCCTGACAGACATGTCTGTATATCTGACATCCCTGGCTATCTTTATTCTTACCTTGCCGCTTTACGATGTTGTTGTTGTTTAAGTTTCCGCATCTCGTGAATCTCATCGTCGCTGAAGTCAGTTACTTTCCTGTCAAAAAAATAGTATTTCAGTTACGTATATCTGAGTCAATTTGATCCAGCGCGGTGAAATTAAGCATAAGGTCAAGCAATTTTAGTTTTCTCCTATGAGCTTTTAAAAATCTGAATCAAATCGAGAATAAGGAAACTTTTTTTATGATCGAAAGAGTGTAGGGGTGTCATTTTTTCATGTATTTTATCCAAAATCCCCATACAAAATTCAAACTAAAAGGGCCAGCTCATCCTACAACCAAAAGAGCTATAACATTTAGAGAATGGTTTTCTCACCTAAAGACACAAATCTAGAGGTTGGTCCGTGGAAAATTAGAACTTTTTTTTTTGTAGGCCAGATACACTCATATTCTAGTTTTTGTTCGAACTGTGTTTTCCATACACATAAAAAAAAGAAAATTTAATCGCGTTCATCATATTAATTGAAGCCTAATTCAAGGTTTGAGAGGTGCTGCGGGTTTGAAATCTTTAATCGCAATTATCACTCTAATTCACCTTAATCACACCCCTTAAGTTTTAGGGGTTTGAAATATTCATTCGCGTTAATCTTTGTTTGTGCAACGTCATCTACATGTACAACTACCCTACCCACTGTAGCTACTATACAAACGAATACAAATAAACAATATATCAGTGTCTCGAAGACATCCGCCATGACAGGACGGTCAAGCAAACTGTGTGTTTTATGAGTTTCATCTCCGTACCTATCACAACGATCATGAACACAGCGTAGGGATCACGCCCATGCTCGATCAATCTTTTTAATTAACGTCTAAATCGCAATTGTAAGGGTACTGTTCAGGGGTTTGAAATCTTTAAACGCGTTTATCTCCTTAATTAAGGCCTAAATTATGATTTTTTTTATCGTTTCGATGAAGGGTGGATGTTTTTGGCGTGAATTTATGAAATCATAGTCCAGTATTTTTTGTAGATAGAAATAACGACGCGATAAAGTTTTTTTAATATGTATATATATTTTTAAGCATAAATTTGAACGAGCGATGGATTTTAAGATTATGAAACATTAAAAAGCTGGCTAATTACAGATCCATTGAGATCCTTCCTGGTATTTGCTTCAATTTAATTCAATCTTTACCAAATAAATTCTCAATAATTGAGAAGCTCAGCAAGCCACTTTTGCTTGCTGAATAGAAGATCGTCTGTTTAAGACTTGTTTATCGGAAAGCCATATCAAATCCTTCTCAAGAGCAGTTGTTGTTATCGTCGGTGTGGTTGCCGCCGAAATCGAATCAAGTAACAGCAAGTTGAACGGAAACTTGATCGTATTCTTTTTGTGATATAAGGATCTCGGTGGCCTAGTGGTGACCGATTTTGCTTATTGAGTAGAACATTATTAGTTTAATCTGAAGCTCCTTCCCATTAAATAGCTTTAGTGTGCATCAGATTTTTTCATGAAATTAGATAAAGCTAATTAAAATCCGGTTGGGGGAACGGGTTCTTAAAAATAAAATATTCGATCTTTAGGAGAGATGCGTTGATCGGAAATCTATAGTAAATCTTTCTCAAGAGTAGTTGTTACCGTAGTAACGTTGAACAGGAACTTGATCCATTTTGTGTGAAATAAGAAGCCCGGTGGCCTTGTGGCGACCGATTTTGCTTACTGAGCAGAAAAACATGGATTCAATCCCAAGCTCCTTCACATTACAGAGTTATAATTTAAATCGTCTTTCTTTCATAATATGATGTATAGCGTACCGAAATTCGGTTGGAGGGCCGGGTACGTAAGAGAAGTAATATTTGAGTTTTACGAAAGACCAGTAGATCGGAAATCCATAACAAATCCTTCTCAAGAGCAGTTGTTGTCATCGTCGGTGAGGCCTCCGCCGGGTATTTTAGATTATCAGTATTTACATATTGAGGGTGATTGCTGGTCCCACTGGTTCTCTGTGTGATTACAGCTGATGTGGCAATATCGGAGCTGCATCCACGGGCGGTCAATCATGCTCATGCTGAGATTTTTTTTAAAGTGATGATGACTTTCATGAAAAATTTATATAAAAAAGTTTCAGGCAAAATATGTTCCGCAAGGGACCACCCTAATGACAAATTTAAATAAAATGTGCTAGTACTTTTGTTTCAATATGTAGACGTTTGGTGTCATCTGTAAATTTCATGTGATTAAAATTTCCCTAATTTTCGTGACTGTTAGCAATAGAGTGGTCCTCAAATTAGTTGATATTCAATGACCAGTTTTCTTACTTTTGAAATAACAAAAACATACAATCTTTAGCAAAGCTGTGGCTTAGTTAATTTCAAGCAACTTTGTAAAAGAAACATTTTTTCTATCTCATTTTTTTTAATCAGTATTTTTTTCTCGGATACTTGGACACCGTTCTTTTGCTGAAAGGATAGCATATCCGGTCAGCTTTCTACCTGTCGAAGCTATCTAGGAATCCAAATAGAGGTAAAACAACCATCCAGGAATAAGGATACTGTGTCTCTATTTTTTCGTATAATGTATTTAAATTTGAGCCCTTACAAATGATAACTTGGAAACTTATGTATATTTGACCCGTGCTGAGTGATTAACATTTGGCAAGGGCGTATTTTATAATGGAAATCTTCAATATCGCATGGTCTTAAATCTTTTGGGAAAAAGAAACGCCTTTCGTAGCAGCTCGTTTGAATCAGCTCAAACTAGAAATCCATTAATTTTATTTAATAAGGTAAGATAGATAATTGACTCATATTTACAGATTTAGTTTCTGCTCCTAATCTGCGAAAAATGTGCTCCGGACGTACAATTGCTTCTGCCTATGCTTTCCGCTGCATAACTAAGGTTTGTAGGTAAATTCGAGGGGGGCGACTCTATCTACGATGCAGGTTAAATTGTGTTTTGCTGTGGTTAGCTGCACGCACACTGAGTAGATAGAAAGAAGATTGATGACGATTCTGAAGATTTCCTGTAAAAAGATGAGGTACGGTGCAAGTAGATGCGAGAAATGATTGAAGATTTTTCTAAGATTGATTCGCTAATGTGAGAATTGTTGAGCATCTAGAATTGACATTTAGATTTGTCGCCCCCCTCGGGTAAATTGCCAAGTAAAAACAATGACCGACCAAAATCAATAACCGCTTCCGCCTTCATTGAACTGTCAGTTCTCCATTAGTATCACTCGAGCAAAAGGTGAACCAGTGTCGGTGTTGGTGCCCAGTGGTTTCAACATAAATCAATTCACTTTATTCGGGAAAATGAGTATTTTAAGAAATTCTAAATGTTTTATTAGTTTTATTATTTCAATTTCGCAAATGAGAACGTTAAAAGATAAGAAAATGTTTCTTGAAATTAACTCAGCTACACTTTTGTCAAACAACATATTTTTTTAAATCTTCTTTATTTTTAAAACTAAAAAATGTAGTTTTTAATATGAATTGTTGAGATGTTGAAATGTTGAGGACCATCCTAATGTTTACCACAAAAACCAAAATGAAAATGTACCTAGGTTAATATATCTTTATATATTAGAGAAATTTCATCGTAACCTTTTAACTAAAGGGTTTAACGACGCACTTCCTTCAGCGAAAAAAAGTTGTAGAAGACAACTCTCATTTATTTTTATTTTTAAATAAAAGAGTTATTATACAAAAACTATTTTATTCTAAGAGACACAATAAAAGCTTTACCACTATATTTTCTTCAGAAAATTTACTTGAAATTACGTAATCTACAACTTTGTGGAAAGTTCTATCATGATATTACTAGAAATGAAAAAGTTATTTTTTTTTTTGTAATTTTAAAGACCCCATTATTTACAACTATCATCGAAATAAAGCTATTATAAGCAACGACTTCACAGAAGACACTATGCTGGTAAAGGTTCAATTTATTTGTCAAAATATGTATCTCCTCCTAATTTTCGTTTCAGCACCACAGTGCATTGATTGTAAATTTAATTCCACTAAACCTTAACTTAACTTAATTTAACCTCAAGCGTAATAGTAGCACCACGAATAACTATAAGAGGCTTGTCGGACACTTGAGTGCTCCGATAAACATAGTCAGTAAGTAAGAAAAAAAGGGATTCTCTAGTATTCCCTTCCAATTTACACTATTTTTTCAAAAAGGAATTTTCTGCAAAAGAAAACTTTAGAAATTTATTTTACTATTAGGTGATATTCTTATTAGTTCTCACGAAAATCCAATTAAGTTTGCCTTTTTAATTCTCTATAAAATTCTCGTGGGATATTTCTCAGGATTCGCTTGGTAAACTCTTCAGAATTAACATGGAACACTCTTGATAAATTCTCTTGAAATTCACTTTAGATCTAGGTTTGAAGTTAGCTCTGAAATTTTGAACATTCTTCAGAATTTAAAAAAAAAATGCCCGTTCAATTCTCTTCAACTTTTCTTAAATTTCTTTGATTTTTTACCTAGAATTCCCTTGAACATGATCTCAAACATTTCTGCAAATTCTTAACACTCATAATTCCTTGAAGTTATCTTTAGAATTTCTGTGAGTTTATGAGAACAATCTTTAACATTTTTTCAAATTACCCCTTTAATTCTTCGTAGAAATCTCTAGGAATGCTCCCAGCATTTTTTTTTAAATTGTTGTTTAAAAATTCTTAAAAAAAATCATGTTATTCGATTCTGCTGAAATTATTATCATCTTTGTTAACCATCCTCGGCATTCTGTACCCTTGAAATACTTCTTGAGATTCCTTTAAAAAGCTGCTCTTAGTTACTTAGGAATAATTTTCAGTATTTTCTTGTATTTTTTTCCGTTATTGGGATTTTATTTTCCAACCGCATTACACTTAAGTCTTTTTTAAACGGTTTTTTTCCGTCGTTTTTTTACAGGTTCGTTTTAAACGCTGTTTGTGTTGTTTATTTGCAATTTACACGGTATGTTTACCGGAACCCGATAATTTTGGTAATGGAGTTAGAGTTAGAGGCAAAATAGATTCAATTGACAAAGCTTAAAGGGTGTCCACGATGAAATTGCCACACTATGAAATTGCTCTAACTTTTTAACTGTTGGGTAGAATTTAATGAAAATTTGGGTGGATTTAGTTCATAGTGCATTATTTACATCCTGCAAGTTTTAAAGTCCTGTGATCAAAACTCGCGGAAATGGAGTCGAAAGAACAGCTCGTGCGTGATAAAATCTTGCGCATTCATCACGAGAACAAGGATCTCTCGCATCGTTCCATCGCTAAAACGTTGGGAATCGCGAATTCCACGGTGTCGCGAGTGATTAAGCGGTTCGAGGAACGGTTGACCACCGATCGGAAGCCCAGAAGTGAAGGAAAAAGTATTCCGTACAACACCAAAAATCACAACCGCGTAGTTGGGGCCTTCAACCGAAATCCGAACACCTCCGTTAGGGATGTGGCTAAGAAGCTGCACCTAAGCCGAAGTTTTGTCCAGAAGGCCAAAACTAAGGCTGGGCTTTGAACGTTCAAGGTACAAAAGGCCCCTAATCGCGACGAGAAGCAGAACAAGTCCGCCAAAACCCGTGCCAGGAAGTTGTACCTCAACATGCTGACGAAAGTTGAATGCTGCATCATGGACGACGAAACATATGTGAAGGCCGACTTCAAACAGATCCCCGGCAACCTGTTTTTCACGGCCAAGGATAAGTTCAGCGTTCCGGAGCATGTCCGCACTCAGAAGATGTCCAAATTTGCGAAGAAATTCCTGGTTTGGCAAGCCATCTGCACGTGCGGGAAGCGGAGTGCACCTTTTGTGACCCAGGACACGATGAACGGACAGGTGTACATAAAAGAGTGCCTCCAGAAGCGGCTGCTTCCTCTCCTGAAGGCCCACAACGTCCCAACAATCTTCTGGCCGGATTTGGCCTCATGCCACTACTCCAAGGACGTGCTGAAGTGGTATGCGGACAATAAGGTCTATTTCGTGCCGAAAATGTTCAACCCTCCCAACACTCCGGAGCTCCGCCCCATCGAGAAGTACTGGGCGATTATGAAGCAGCACCTTCTTAAACGACCTAAGATAGTGAAGACAGGCGAGGAACTGATGAAAGTATGGGTTTACATGCAAAAAACGGTTGATTCACAGGTTGTGCAGAATCTTATGGCCGGGGTTAAGGCCAAGGTGCGGGCATTTGCGTATGGACTGTAAATAAAATACGAGTAAAATGGTAAAATGAAGTTTAATAGTTATTTCTCAATCCCTGAAAATTTGATGGCAATCGGATGAAAACTCGAATTTTGCGAATCAATTTTGTGTGTGGCAATTTCATCGTGGACACCCTTTACTTCGTCAACCACTCCCACTTACTTTAAACCTCATTTGAATGTTGAAATTTGATTTTCAAATAAAAATATGAACAGTAGAGACCCCTAATTGCAGGTGAAAATTTGTTAAATCTCTCATGGCTTTTGAAGCTTCTTAATACATATGTTTTGTAAAACAAATTGACTGTATGTTTTGTTATAAAAAGTTATTTCCAATTATGTTTTTAAAAATAATAAAATCAAATAAGGTTTATGTGAGTTTAAAATATTATATTGTACTTCAAGTTATACTCTTTCAAATGCAAAATTGGAAATGTTTTGTCCCCATGCTGAGTAATTAATATTGGAAAAAAATCGTTAATATTGTACCTGAAAGATCTAGTTTAATAGCTCTGAATTATTTGTTTAAAATTTCGTAGAAAGTCGACTTTAAGTAACTTGGAGAACTTGTTAAAATGCATATTTTTACAGAATAAAGTAAATCGATATCTCTTAAAGATCACGTGATCTTCCAGAGATATCGATTTACTTTTTTCTGTAAAAATATGCATTTTAACAATTTCTCCAAGTTACTTAAAGACGACTTTCTAAAAATTTTTAAACAAATGATTCAGAGCTAGAAAACTAAATTTTTCATGTACACCCTTACTCAATTCTAAAAAAATACTCTAAAATGAGAACATTAAGAGAAAAATAAAAAAAAATACTTGATCAAAGTTGCTTGAAATATGAAACATATGTCGTTATTCTTAAAAATTAGAAAGACAGTTTTTAATAATCAATTAATATGAGAACAGCCCTGATGTTCATAGCCACCAAAAGAAGCAAGTTTTGAAGCACATAAACTTCACCAAAGACACCAAACGTCTATATATTAAAGCAAAAGTCCAAGGTCTACTTTCCTGCTGATTTCCCATCCTAGACGACTGTGCAGCGTTCCGAGAGGGGTGTACCGTTGCAACGCGTTGGTTTGATCATCGGCTTCTAAATCAAGCAATGAATTATTCTCATGACGTTCAATTAAAACCTGCTCATCAGGAAAGTTGTAGCATGGAAAGTATTTTGTTACATACTACTGAGAGCAATTTTACCAGAACAGCAATATGACGGAACTTTAAAAGCTTCTGACACCGTTTCAGGTTGCAACAAAATGAAGATTATTATCAGGATCAACTTAAGAATCGATTGCGCTGTGTAAGCAATGAAGATCATAAAAATCACCAGAAAGTCCTCAAAATTGAAAACCATGCCATGGAAAAATTATTAAGTTTATTTTTTGATACAGTCAATACAACTACGTCGTTCAGCAAATAATCTCGAACAGCGCATTCAATCATCTAATCAATTTTAATTACTCCCTCCACTCCTAATACCCAAACACACACCGAATGTAGCAATTCACCGTTGTGTCAGTGCTTACCTTCGATTGGGTTTCTTGTGCTGCTTCGAATGACGAGCAGATCCACTGCCGCCGGATGCCTGCTTTTTACCCAGGTGTCGCTTTGCTGCCGTCTTTCGATTTTCCGAATGTACCACGTACAGCCGATAAAGCTGAAGCAATATTACCAATGTGTTCTTGCCTACAGGATAAGGAAGCTATAGAGAAGGCTATCAAACTGGGTCAGAGTAAATAAGTCGAGACGTCCTTATCCATACAGTACCCGACCCGATACGTTCCATGCAATATATGAGAGACGGGTCATGGATATTTCCTACTCAAACTTGGCTTCCTCCATGTGGGCGGGGATGAAAAATGACCGAATCGAAATATAAGGAAAATATTCATGATGGTCGCATCCCGTCATTTTTCTTACGTCAAGGTTGGCGAAAAATCAATTTCCAATACCCTTCCAAGAATACTCACATGTGAAGAAAATGTTCATGTAAGTGATAATTTTGTAATGTATGATAATCAACAGCCGAAAGGTGAGGAAAGGGGCGTCCTGCAGCAGAATGTTCAGAGCGATTCCCCAAACGTCGATATTGCAACAGCTCATGTTACAACAGTGGGTATCCTCTTCCCGCTGGGAGGCAACACTTCCACCTCCTCGTGGCTTCCGGGCACGTGTAGCCGACAGGACAATCGTAAACTGCATCAAACTCCAGGACCAAATGCTCAGCGTCAGCAGCACCAGCACCGGTTCGTTGGCAATTTTGCTATCCTTGAATGAGTCGAAAAATTCAATTATATCGGCTGCGGTTCCAATGTAAACGAGGAGCAGCTGACTCAGTTGGTCCCTGGTCAGGTCTCCCTTGGGTAGCATCCAGCGACCGATGATGAGCACCAACATCAGAAATTGCTCGATAAGGGTTACCCATGTATCGGCGTTCAGTTGAATTTCTGGCAGTTGAATTTTCACGCCGAGCATTTTGTTCAGGTCTTTCAGGTCTTTGCCGACGGTGGCAGCAAAATTGATGGTTTCATTCAGCATCTGGTCCTGGAAGAGGGAACGTTTCTCCAGTTTGTCCAATTCCAGAAGCCATATCGCAGGCACGATGGTCGATAGGTAGATGAAAACCGATGGGCAGAACCTGGAATGGATATAGGTGATGGAAGGAAAAAGCGTCTGTTAAATCTTGAATGCATAGTTTTGCTACTGATATGTATGGTGAGCTATTATTCAAAATGGTTAAATCAAAATGGTACGATCTTTATTTATTTCTTCATCTTTGGTATTAGAGTCACACAGACTGATTAACGACACTTAAAAAGTAGTCTACTAATATTAAAATCAAAATTATTAACTGGCAGAACTCACTTCGGACCTCTCTGATTTGACTCAGGGTTGTCACAAATCTTTGTTCACCGATGACACAGGCATTTCCGCTAAAGGAAGAAGTCTTCGTTTTATTTGTAGTAGTCTGCAGAAAAGATTAGATTGGGGGTAATGGATGTAATGTCGGCCTAAATGCCCCTTATTTGGGCCCATACATAAATTCAGTAATCCACTAAATTTTCAAAAGTGACCAAAAATATCCATAAGTACCGTCCCAACGACGCGTTCGTCTAGATAAAATTGATAAATAGCAGATTTTTTGCGATGGGCCCAATCTTAGATCCATGCCATTTTTTTAGAGCCATTTTCCCTATGTTCTCTTTTTATTTACAAAAATGGAACATTTCTCCCAACGCTTCCAAAACTCAACTTTAATGTTTCCACATAAGCCTAGAGCTTCCTTTTTGAAACATAGTAGTAAATAGTCACATAGTCACTATGAACGGAGTACCAATCCAAGTGAAATATCGGAGTTAAAACCAAGTGAAATATCTTGGATTAGTACTAGACCAAAAATTAACTTTAAAAGATCACATTGAAGTCATTCAATCCAAATGTATGCTTGCATCCTCTTATAAACAGGAAAAAACTTTGCCTGAAAAGTTTACTTCTAGTTTATTAAACCGGCAATGCTTTATGCTGTGCTAATATGGTCTAGTTGTTGCACTATCAGGAAAAAAAGCACTTCAAAAGGATTCAGAACAAAGTTCTGAAGATCATTTCAAAGTTGCCTCCCTGTTACAGTACTACCGAGGTACATAGAGTTTCGAATGTTGCAACGGTTAATTCCCTTTATATTTAGATACGATATAGTTTTAGTTTTAGTTTAAAATGACAATTGTTATAATGACATGCATGTATAGAAAGCCTGTTTAAAATACTGAATTGCCAATGCAGTAAAAATTTGAAAGCACTTAGATATATATCATAACAATAATGGGCTTCGAGGCAACTCTCTTCTCAGGTCCCACTTCGGAGAATTAACTATGCGGCGAATTCCGGGCTAATCACCCTCCAACGGACGTTCAACCTAGTCTTCTCAGTTTTTGATTTTGACATGTTGTTAGCTTTAAGATAATTTTTTTATGATTTGGACACTAAACTAGTCTGTTGATAACAGTGCGACGTGCGGGAGTCCACAGAAAGTAAAAACTGCGGAGCATGGAAATTGCAGGAAAATTCGACGGCTCGATGGTGTTTTCAGTCCGATAAGCACACGATCATGTTTTATACGGAGATAGGTTATAGGGATTGGTTCATGGAAGTCGTCGTAATGCAAATCTGACAAAACGTTTTTAGATTCTCTCGATGCGCAATACGGGAACAACATGATATGGAGCCCTTAACGTGTACTCCATATTCAAGAACTCTGCGAACCAAAGAGCAATACAGTGGTTGAAGACGTGCAAGTCATCGAATTGCAAGTGTTGATTCGCAAGAAACCAAGCATGTAATTAGCTTTTGCAATTGACATAGATACCTATGTAATCGTTGAATCTAGGTTTGCTGTCCAAGATAAGCGCATGATCCATAATGGAATCAACAATTTCGGGGTTTGTTTTGTTTATTAATTTATTTGATAAGGCTCAATCGAATTAACTTTCCAGAACAAGGATTTTTGTTATTATAGTCAAAAGACACACCACAATAAACACTTTATTCTCCGCTATCCAATAAACCTCGTCAATAAGAACGAGATCCGCTTGCAGTGGTTTCATTGTATGGCAGTGTCACCATTACAGAAATGGACGCAAAACGTGGTCATCACTTATACACTCATCACGAAACGGTTGCTTTCGACCGTGTGGCCGTAAACTTGCGGAGCGGGCTGCAGACAGTGTTGCAACTTTGGGAAAATGGTGGATCTGGTGGCGTTCATCAGCCACATACGGCTCAGCAGGCGTTGCTGGCTCGCTTGGCTGGCAGGCGTCTTCCGTCGTTGACGGCATCGGCTGACCGTGGCATGGCCACCTTGGTTGAGCCGAGACGTGACCCTCCTTGGTAATTAAGGCCACCGGCCTGAAGGAATCGTCCCTGACAGACGATCGAGGATCATTTACTATTAGGCTCGGAAGCCATCTTGACTTCCGAGCCGAGCCGTGTGAGACCGTTTTATTTACGGTACGAGGTCCTATTGTAGGGTAATATTTCCGTCAGGTTGGCTGATAACAATAATTTAAGCCTATTTACCTGAACGGAGGCAGCCCAACATTCCAGAAACCCCACAAGGGGGGGGGGGGGGGAGTGCGTACACTAAATGGCACTGCACTTAAAAATACCGGTATTTTTTACACGGACGCCTGTTTGTTTTTGGTCAATCTTCCACTGAAATATGGCCTCTCCAATATATCCAATAATTATCATTCTCCCTCTTTTCGCACAATCATTTTTGTGCGAGATGTTGTATAATAGTTTTTTGTCTTCAGTAACGTTCTTGTTCTATGCAGCGGTACAAATCCTCTCGCTCTTGTGTGTGTCTACTGTTTTAGGTTTAACTAAACGTGAATTTTCCCAACAATAACTCATACAGCAGAAAATCCACGGATTTTAACCAACTGGTTACAATGTTAGCCACTCAATGTCAGCTTGAAGTGCACAACAATTTAAGATTGATTTGATCGCTCGGTAAATTTTCAAATTGTCTGCATATAACAGCATGTAGTAATTAAAATGGTCACACACGTCGTTAATAAAAAAACGAAAATAAGAGGTTCTAAGTGACTCCCTTGTGGAAGATCCGATGGTATGCCTAACACATCGGATTTGGCATCGAATCCTCATAACGTCTCCGGATTGCCAAGGTTTCCACCGGCCGGTTTCTCATACTTTCGTATATGAATTTTGGTACGCTGGTACGTCATTTGGACACATAGCGCATACATGGCCAAGTTATAAGCATTTAAACCCTTACATGATTTTTCGACGCTGCTTCGAATATATGGTACCCCATACCATTGATGTGGAAAACGCTGCTTCTTTTCAACTAAGGATTTCAGTTAATCGGTCGATTAGTTCAAATAAATCGAATTATGATTCGAATATCACGCTTACTGGTGTGGTTAACTTAAAAACATTTTTTGTTAAGTGTATAAACCGCGTAGAAAATCTTTTTAATAAAAATTGCATAAAAACCCTGACACTAAATTAATAGTCTTGGGAAAGCATAACCATCAGGCGTTATCTTTTGAAATTAAACAAAGGAAGAACAACGATAAAGCCTAAATGTACCCATAGCTTGAAAAAAGGAACATTATTGCCCGTAGCATACATTTAGGGTTTATCTATGTTTTTCCTAATAAATTTAAAAGATTAATGGCTGATGGTTATGTTTTCTACACTACAAATAACAAGGCACATTGAGTAATAAATAGTATTGTTGAAAATAACTACTAAGCGGCGCCGGTGGTGTAGTGGTAATCGTGATTACCTATCACCCCAGCAGGCCTGAGTTCAATCCCAGTCGGCGCCGCCGGGATGTTCTGAGGCATAACATCTCTGTTCCCCCGAGAGAATAGAATAACAAAAAAAATATATAGGTATATAACATCTCTGATCGCGCCTTCCTTCGGTTCATGAGTTGATGGGTCGATAGGTAGAGTTCAGGTGTGGGAGCTGCCTCCCTGGCGTCGGTAGCATTGGTGCACAGCACGGAAAACAAGATCGACGAAAAACAAATCGAGGAAAGAAAAATAACTATTATTTTTTAAAGAACTTGCCCCTTGAACTTTCGAACTGGAAGAGAATGGCTGTTTCGAAAAATGTGCATTAGTTCTGTAGTTTTTAGAGATACCAGCCATGTCAAGAAATTAAATTATAATATTCCTAAATTAATTTAAAAACGTACGCTCGTACGCATATTGAGAAAATCAGAATGAGCTGATGCTTTAAAAAATAATCAACCGTTGCTTCCAATTGTATTCCATTTCTAATACTGGAGGAAGAAACCATTTGTCTGAAGAAGTTTTCTAGAACCTGGTACTGTTTCACGATGGTAAATGACAGGTGGGCAGGAACTCACAGTCTCCCAGTGTTGGTGAGTTCTTTGCCGTTAATGTTCACGAAAAGTTCACTATTTTGCTATACAGAAATTCAAAACAAAAATTTTTATCTGCGGATTTGAACAGTTTTTGACCTGTTTCATACTACCGGAAGGTGTATGCTGGTCACAAATGCCGTGCCAAACTGTAATTGAGTAGGAAATCTTTGATGTGAAATTCGCTAATAAACACGAGGCGCATTTCTTATAGCAAACATGCCATAACAAAATGGGCATGGTTCATTTATGTAAACAAACTAACACTTCTTCCGACTGTGGCACCTATGTATTTCCCATCGTGGTACTGTTTCATGTTAGCTGAAATTTTCACCAGCGTTTATTGGGTCACTTACCATCGCCATTCTTGGTTTTTCTTGATTACTAGGGTAAATATTCCTTCTACAAACAGCACACCAATCGGAACACAAAGACACCAATATATGGGATCCTTTTTGTTCTGCGTCACCTGCCAAATGGCGATGAATCCATGAGTACTGAAAATTATGCGTGTTATGATTGCCTTAATAGTTGCCAGTAGCTTTGCCATCTTGTTGGGTACATCCGTGAAAAAACGAGAAAAACGAGAACAATTTCGCACTTTAATCCGTATCGAATCACGGTTCGATGAATACTAAGGTCGAGGGAAAATGTTTGATTTCTGGTCACGCTAAAAAAGTGTTTAAACGAACGGAATCATAAGTGACAGTTGAAAGTCATTGTGCAACAAAAGAACTTCGATTTGTGGGACCATGATTTGCTGTTTTTTTATGTTAGGTTATACGGAGAAGTGTATGCTACAAAATGTAGGATTTGGATTTTCCCCGTCAATATAGCTTGCAATTCGAAATAGATATGTCGATATACATTATGATTGTGTCCATGAATGTTTAACATTAAATTTTGATGGTGGACATTTATTTACCCAACCTCTTCCAAATTCTCACAAAACAAATTGGTATTGCTTCCATCTAGATTTCAGCACTTGTAGTTCAAACAACGAGTGAATGGCTGAAGACTACATTATAAATCCAGTAAGATTTACCGTAAAACCCCGTTAGTTTGAATAGCTAAAATCGCAATCAAACGGTGCTCATTTAGAATTTGTTTTACTGGTACCTCTACAGAGGTGTCCAATGGCGTTACGCACCAGTGTACCTGTTAAACAATTTAATTATTTGCAATTTTAACTACTCAAACTAACGGGGTTCTACAAACAATCAATACGAAACTAACGATGTTTAACTGGCTCACTGCTTGAATAGTCCATTGGTCCCAAGTACTTCTATGGCGTACCCCATTCTTATGATTCGGTACTAGAATTTGTCAAAGGCTGTTTTTTTTTCCTTTCGCGTAGGTGTTTTCGAGGGGCGGATCACTAACGCATTTTCGAATCAGTCTTGCGTATTGATGTACGCATTGGAGCATTTTATTAAGCATTGGATGGCGCATTTATGCATTGATGTATTAACTTACGCATTGGTGTATTTTACTACGCAATGATGCATTAAGATACGCATTTTACTAATAGTTACGCATTGCCGTGCTTAGTAATGACTTTTTTGGCAAATTTGAGTATTTTAAGTTTAAATTGCATTTGTTATGATGTTAGTTGAGTAGAAAATATTATGCGTGCAGGCTGCACTGTTTTTCCGCAAAGTGACAGATGTTTATGAGATTTTCCGGTGGAGTGAAAGAGAGCAAAAAAATTGTTCATAAATTGTTTTACGCACAGAATGACAGTTGTTTATGGAATTTTGCCATAAGAGAAAAGAGTACCAGCTGTCACCGCCAAAGCCGAGGTTTAAGCGAAAGCGATTTTTGTTTATGTTTTGCTTGCATCTGGACTCAAAATGACTGAAAAAGCCGAAGATTAGTTATCATCTATAGAAATCTATCCTAACAACGTTCTGCCGGAATCAAGGCCAGAATAACAGTGCTCAGTGATGATCTAGCCGAGGATTCATGTTCTTACCGGGAAAATTAAATCCTAGATGTAATGTTTATGTAGCAACCCTATAACCAACAATCAATACGAAACTAACGATTTTAAATTGGCTCACCACTTTAGTAGCCTATTGGTCCCAAGCAAACGATTAACGTACCCTATTCTAGTTGAAATTCTATTACTACACTATGTTTGTTTTGATTCGCTATGAAAGTTTGACAGATAACATCAGGGGTGTGTGGATTCATGCAGAACATGCAGGGGTGAGTGAAATAGCTTGGGACTGCTTGGGACCGTTGTTCTGGTACTGAGTGAGCCAAAAATAATAATGATTTTCTTCGGGACCCAGTGGTCTTGAGTTACCTCTATGCTATAACCTCGTCTATAACAAGAACACATGATTAAATAAAAGAGCAGAATAAAATATACTTTGTAACTGAAATATATGCTTTATTCTCCCTTATGAATTACGGAGTGAATGACAACTATCAAGCGCATTGCATATTACGTATCAGCATAGAACTCAGGTTTTCCAACGGGTTTTACAGTATAAGCGAATGAACTTTCTTGCAAATTTACTTCAGAATCGTTGATCGTCTGTTCTTGATCTAAATATTCTTCGTAAATTCACATGCCATCTGACTTTCTGGATTATCTTCGTGATTTTCAACGGGACCACTTCCCTTCTCTCGAGAGGAGATGTTGGCTCCTTGGACAGCCTCGTTTGTGTCATGCTCGATTTCACATTCCAATGATAGTCCTGGCTCGTTAGCGTTATGCTCGATTTCACGTTCTAATGATGGTCCAGGAGACTTAAAATAGGACACGATTGTCACATTTGGTCGCGATTGCAGATGGTCTGCGTAAAGTTTGAAATTATCCAATACCACGTACCGTTCTTGTTAGGACGGCTGCTCAAAACAACTGCTTTCGAGCAGCACCAACATGTTACGGTAGCCCGACGGTATCCGCTAACCTTAACTTCTGCATGCGTACTGGGCATTCGTAATTTCTTAGCGCTGGATTTTCATATCGATTGTCTTTACGGGAGCATCAGCATTTTTCTGTTTCCCGATATGATTTTCCCCACCGATGTCATTTATGATCCCGGATCCATTTCCAATGGTAGAGTCGGTAGAAGGTGAGGTAGAAGGCGCCTGTACAACGTGATCCTGGCGTGTTTCTTGTCTTGCTTCGCATCGCAAAATAGTTTCAGTGTGCTTTCGACGAATCTTAAAAAGGTAAACATAAAGGGATAAGCATTAATGGGTTAGAAGTAAAGAAATACATACGTTGTCGAGCAACACGAGCTGGTTTTGCTGTACGCAAACACAAAATGATCCATTACTTACTTTCTCGAACGGTTTGGGTTTCTCTGGTAGCTTTTGAGCAATGCCTTTAAGGAGTTGAATATGTCCTGGAACCAGTTTGAAGTGCTCTGAATTGCGAATATAGACCAAACTGGCAATTTCATCCGGTCCGGTAAAACTCGGATATTTTCTCTGGCAAAACGCTCCAGTTCCAGCTTCATATCCCCCGAAAAACTTTTTAAAGCTGCATATCGATCATATCTGGCTGCAGTGATAAGTTTTTTTTTTTTAATAAACTGGAATAACTTCCCAAGAGAACTCTTCCACTGTTCTCCAAAAGCTTCTGATTTCCAGAGGATATAATTCGCTGCACTTGATGTTGCATGACATTTTTCAACAGTTTTATACGCTCGATATTCAATTATTTCGAAGTGTCGATGTGCCAGTTCAAAACCTAAGAGGAAGAGGTTCAAAACCTAAGAGGAAGAGGGGACAATTGGCGTTGACGGTGACTCTGTAGCTCTTTACTCCTATGAGAAAATCCATAAGCAAACGTCAGACTGTGCATGAAACATGGCGGACTTTGTACTATCCTTTCACTCTACCGAAAATTCCCATAAGAAACTGTCTAAATTTGCTGGAAGAGCAAATTTTTCGACGGTGCCGTCAACGCCAATACGGGGGCGATAACGAACTACTTTTCTGTCAAACGCGAACCAGCTCGTGATAGGCCGATTTGAAGTGCGTAAGATAGAGATAGAGATTAAAGAGTAAGAAGCCAGTTGTCTCCTCTTCCTCTTAGTTCAAAACGTATAATATGGCGCCAATCGCCACCGTGGTCACCACAACATACATTAAAACTTACCACGTGTACTGTAGGAAAACACGCATTTTTCAACGCATTGGTGCATTTTTAGTGCATTAAAAATTCTGTCAGTACGAAATGCTTATCAGCATTCACACACTTCCGAGCATTTTTCAACGCATTAGGTTTCGGAGTGCATTTTTAACGCATTAGTTCTGAAAGTGCATTTTCAAACGCATTGAGAAGCATTTTTATCAATACACATTTTGGATTCAGTAAATTGCATAGTGATCTGCCTCTCGGGTGTTTTGTTGTGCTGCATGCAACGTCACCGGAGGTTTCAGCATCTGGTATTTTCTACGGCGTGTTCTGCCGTTTTTACTGGCTTCCTGCTCCAAGATACTCCCGTTGCTCGTGGGATGGTAGCGAGGATTGTGTCAACTCATCTGGAATGTTAATAAGGTCTGAACCTTAATCAGAAAAACCACAAGTCGTGGAAAAGTAAGAGAAACAATAAGTATACATAATCCAGAATATATTCTGAGCATAGCAAGAATTATGGTGATCAGGAAGCGCTGAAGTTGACTGAAGGAATGTGTTGCTCTGTGCAAGAACCCCACCGCTAAAAAGTTTTAGCTTCCTATCTATGCTTTGTGGTTTCTGGCTCTGGAAATACCAAACTAAAAGCGAAAAATAACCGAGGTAAAGTATAAACAATTCTGGCGGTATCTAGCGGGATGATTGTAAAGACGTTTTGTTCGAAATGCATAGTGGACTTGGAACAAATTAGGGAGGTTTTTCGCAAAAACGATGCATTAAGGTGGATTCGATTTAAGCTTAGCTGCTCCTGTGCAGTGGAATTTGATGCGGATTGCTCTGGAAGAAAGCGCATGGGATGAAAAGGAAGGAAAACAGACCCGCAGAAGCTGGAATTAGCAGATACAATAATCAGCCCTATTCCTGTTTCGAACGAATCGGATTCATAATACAATTTTTTTGACGTAGGAGTACGTCTTTAATTTCTATACTGGGGGTCACATTAAAAAAAAAATCAAAATTCAGGCATGTAATGAAAAATCCCAAACACGGACGCAACGATAGAGCGCAAATCGAACACATGATACATTGCGCATGATTTCATGAGCGAGCTAAATGCTCGGTTGACCGCTTACCATTTCACCAATGAAAGGATGGAGGAGAAAAGCAGCGATAATTAAAACGCTTGCCAAATCGCTTTCTTCGTCATTTGCTTTCGAGCAATGGACGGATAAGCGTCGGACACGACGTATCAGTAAAGCCCTACAGTAAAAGTATCGACGCCTGTCAAAAGTTGTTCCAATCGAACCGTCAAAATGTACCGCTTTTCTCGATTGGAACAACTTTTGACGTAGGACTACGTCTGTGATTTCTATATGGGGGTACACTTTGTGAAAACCGAAAATGGAACATGTAACATGATAATGAAAGATTTTGAACGTTAAAACTCA